TGGGGGGAGAAGGCCCGGCCTCCCCGGGCTGCTCAGGAGGCTCGTGCTTGGTCTCCAGGAGCAGGACAGATACTGCCACCCCGGGGGACAGGGTCCCCAGTGCCGCCGGCCACCTTTCCCTGCACCCCAGCTTGGGACCAGGCACCCAGGACGCTGGACGTCCCCCCAGCAGAGAGCGAAGGCCGCCGAGAGATAGTTCCAGCCGCCGGCTCTCTGGCACCTCAGGGCACCGAGAAAGGTAGGGCTCCCCAGGACACTCAAAGCAACGTAAACGTGGAGGAAAAGTGGACATCGTTCACCATGAGCCACAGTCCTGCGGCTGGTCAGAGCCCTACAGCCCACCCACCCGCCTGCTCCCCAGAGCTCACTTGTCTGCAGCCACACTGGCCTGCACACGCCAAGCCCTTCCCCAGGGGCTACCACAGGGCCTTTGCACGTGCCAGTCCCGCTGCCAGGAACGCTCTTCCCCAGACCTTCGCCCTAGCCGGTTCCTCCACGTCCTTCAGATGTTTCCCTGCCAATGCCCCTTCTTCTTGGTGGTAGCCGGGAGAGGGTGAGTTGGGGGCATTCCTGGCCACCGCCCCCATCTCAAGTGCAGATCCTCCTCCCCCCCTTCCCCACCCATTTCCCCATTTCCTGGTCTCAAGCCACCTGTCTCTACCTGACATCGTCCGTCCCATGCACCGGTGTCCCTGTGCACCCCTGCCCACCCTCAAGCCCCATCGTAGGAGCCCCCGGAACGCAGGGGCCCCGTCTGTCCTGCCCACTGCTGCTCAGCAGCCAAGAGGCCAGGCAGGCTCCCAGCCCGGGAGACAGACCCACGCTCGGACCCGCCAGCCGCAGGTCCGCCGCTCGGCTCTCCGCCCTCGGCCCCAACGTCTGCAGAGCAAACCGGCCACGGCACCACCTGCATGCAGAGTTCGTGAGCATTCGTTGCAAAGAGCCCCAGGGAAATGCGTAGTAGACCGGACCCAGCTCCGCTCCGCTCCGCTCTGGCTGGAGCCACGATGCTCGGATTTGGGTCTCGCCCCGGGAGAGTGCCGAGCCGGGACCCTGCCTTCCCGCTTCCCGCTCCCCGCAGCCGCCGGGAAGCACGCCCGCAGACCTCCTGGCGAAGCTCAAGAGCAACGCAAAGCCCGTGTTTGCGGGGCTCACGGTCACTGTCACACAGAAATTTCAGTTATCCGCTCCCTCCTCTGCGCTCCTCCAGTACTGCCACCACCGCGTGTGCCGTGTCTCCCCGAAAACAAGACCTCCCCGTGAAATAAGCCCCAGCAGGATTTCTGAGCATGTGCGCCATAGAAGCCCCACCCCGAAAATAAGCCCTAGCGACGGGCGTGGCTGCGCAGCGCGTCTGCACAACCCGTGCGTGTCGTCTCGGAGCGGGAAAGAACACGAGCAGCCCTTCTCATCCGCCCCGTCATGACAGCTGCTGTCCCAGAGGTGACCGGAAAGGTGCGGGCAGCCCCACCGGCAAGGTCGGCTCCCCCTGTCGGGTCCCGGCCACCCTGTGCGTGCCGTGAGCTGAGGCTTTGAGGAGAAAATGACACATGCCCTGAGAATAAGCCCCGGGGTGTCTTCTTGGGGAAAAATAGATAGAAGACCCCGTCTTGTTTTCGGGGAAACGCGGTAACCAAGGTAATTACTGTCCCCGGAAGGTCGTCGGCTCACGCTTCGCACCTCGGGGTGACTCAGGACAGCCAGGGCCACGGTGGGTCAGCACCCCAAATCCAGACAGCCAGAGGCCCCCAAGTCCTACAGCCCGGCCAGCGCGGGCCTGCCAGGTGGAAGGCGGGTCCCTCGGGCCCTGAATCCCGTCCCTTCCGGAAGCCTCCGGGCCTCGGCACCCGGACCCCAGGCCTTTCCGAAGGGTGAGGCTGCAGGAGGGCTGCACGGAGGTCAGACCCGCCGCGGAGCTGCGCCTCCCATCTCTGCAGGGGGCTCTCCGGAACTCTCCGTAGTGCCGGGACGTGACTCGACGTCATCTTCTGGTTCCGTGGCCACGGCGAGACCGCTTCGGCGTCTGCCTGCGTCCACCCGCGTTTACAGGGGGCTGCCGGCCGTCCCCCGAGCGGCGCCCGTCCGTTCAGCATTTCATGCGCAACTTCGGAAGCGCAAGTGTCTCATTCGGCGAACAGGCAGGGCGGTGATGGAGGGCAGAGGGACGGAGCGCCGTCCAGACGTCCAGGCCACCGTCCAGCCCCCGGCACCCGGCTCGGCCCAGGCCCAGGCCACCCGGGGAAAAGCCCACCAGCTCCAGCGCCAGAGAGACCCGTGTGGTCAGGGGCCAGGAAGTGAGGGGCGCGCGGGAGGGAGGCGCCCACACGTCTCCTCCTGCCTGTTTCTAAGACCTGTCTCCTTTCTTGGTCTCACGGGGACAGAATTCGCTCTTGGATGGAAAGTCCCGATCCTGCGACGTCCAGTTCACATAAAAAGCCAGGATCCACAAGTCCCGTCTGTCTGGGTTTACGTGGCCAACCGCACGGAACGCCACGTAATTCTTCTTGGTCTTCTAGGAGGCACGGAACGTGTTGGGGGTGATAAACTCTTTTATTTATTTATTTATATTTTTTGGAGACAGAGTCTCACTCTGTCGCCCAGATTAAGAGTGAGTGCCGTGGCATCAGCCTCGCTCACAGCAACCTCAATCTCCTGGGCTCAAGAGATCCTCCTGCCTCAGCCTCCCAAGTAGCTGGGACTACAGGCATGCGCCACCATGCCCGGCTAATTTTTTTCTCTATATATATTTTCAGTTGGCCAATTAATTTCTTTCTATTTTTTCAGTAGAGACGAGGGTCTCGCTCTTGCTCAGGCCGGTTTCGAACTCCTGACCTTGAGTGATCCTCCTGCCTCAGCCTCCCGAGTAGCTGGGACTACAGGCGTGCGCCACCATGCCCGGCTCATTTATATATATATTTCTTTTTAGTTGTCCAGCTAATTTCTTTCTATTTATAGTAGAGACGGGGGTATCGTTCCTGCTCAGGCTGGTCTCGAACTCCTGACCTCGAGCGATCCTCCCGCCTCGGCCTCCCAGAGTGCTGGGATGACAGCCGTGAGCCATGGCGCCCAGCCCGGGAACAATTAACTCTTTAAGGCGCGTGCCTCCGTGGCAGAAAACCTGGCGAGGCCGGAGCCACCGTTTGCCCCGCAGAGTCCGGGAAGCCCACCCCAAGGGCGTCTGTCTGGTCCTCAGGGGATGCCCCTGGTCTCTCCTCCTCCCCCTCCATCCACTCCGGTTGTTCATCCTTCCCTTCTCCTCCCATCCCAATGGGGGGGGGGTCGGGGACATGGCCGGCGGCGTCCTCGCAGACCCCCCACCCCCTCCAACCCTCCACCCCAGAAAGCACGGAGTGTGCACGGAATGTGCCGGAACCTGCCGGTGCTCCTCACCCCGCCCTGGGGAAGGCCAGCCTCTCGCACCCTCCTCCCCCGACGGTATACCTGAGCCCCTTGGCAAACCGCGGCAGAATCCCACCCCCCCCTCCTGCTCAAAGTGCAAAGGGCATCAGTTGCTCCTCCAAACCCCCCCCCCCCCCCCCGCCGACCGACATGGCAGCTAAATGTTGTGCGGCTCCCAGCTCCCCCATCTGTGTTTTGCCTCCCGAGAGGGAAAATAGTCTTCCCAGACGCTCCCTGATCTGGCAGGCGGGTCCCAAACCTTGCTGGCAGCCGCCGGCTTGTTTTCCCAACCAGACTGCGACGGCAGAACCAAGAACGGCAACCTGCCGGGGAGAGGACTGGCCAAACAGCTCCGTCTGTGGCCCCCGGGGCCCCGGAAGCCCAGGGGACGGTCCCCAGGGCCGGAGGAGGAGAAGTCACCGGCGCCAGGGAGGGTGGGGTGGGGTGGCCCGTTCGTTCGTCCGTCCGTCCGTCCGTCCGTCCGCTGGTGTGCTCCCTGCTCCTTCTCCCTGACACGGAAAAGACACCCACGGGGAAGCTGACGGAAAACACTCCGCCCCGAGGTGTGAAATCTACACTTTCTAACTCACATAAAAGGGGTGGAAAAAAAAGGGGAACTTCCGACCCTTTCGCGGCAGGTATTTTCCTCCTCCTACAAGATGACACGTTGTCATAGTGTCACCGCCGCTTGTCCTGTCCCCCTCCCGGGCCCACCAGGCGTACCTCGGTTTCCAATGCGTGCCATTTCCGGCGCCCCACTGCGTTCCTCCTCCTCCTCCTCCCCGCCCCCCGCCTCCCGTTCCCCAATCCCGGAACCCCTGCACCTGTGCCTCGACTGGTAAACCGATACCCGGCGGTAACCGCGGGGAACCCTGACGGGCAAGGGGACCTCCACCCGCCGACTGGCCTTGGGGTCTCCGTCCGAGGCTCTCGACTGTCCGGATTTAAATGCTCCCTTTTAGTTTATTTTTTTTTTTCTTTAACTTTCCCTTTTCCACATGCGAAGCGGTGTCAGGCAAAGAGGTACGGTTTCACTATCAGAAAGAATCATGGTGCGGAATAATTTATGACTCCAGCTTGGGCTTTCAGAAAAGCTATTTCAAATCTTCACTTTGATTCGGTTGTATCAAAACTACTCAAAATAACAGCAGCACTTTCTGGAACCAGAATATGTTAGCAAGCACACCTCAGGATTTTGAACCGAAGCCTCGGGTTTTTTTGTTTTTTTTTTTTTTTTTTCATCCCAGAAGAAAACTTCAGAAAGGAATTATTAAGCCAAGGAGGGGAGAATAACATTTCTTTTTTCATGATCTCTTTGTTCCTCCTTCCCCACCCAGCCCCAAACATACCCAAACCACAAAGGCAAGCCACCCCCCCCCGCCCCACGGGGAAAGAGTGGGGGAGCAGGGGGGGGGACCACCAGCACCCAGAGCTCACCGGGCAGGTGCGGTAACCCCACCTGGGTCAGGTACGGGCCAGGAGGACACCCTCCCGGGCCTCGGGCAGAGCGGGGCTGTCTGGTGTGAACTGGGGTCAGCCAGGTCATCGCAACAGAGCAGGGCAAAGGAGGAGTTCTGACACCGTGCGTGCGTGGGGCTTAC